GGTGCCCTGAATCACTGGCGGCAGCTCAGTTTCTCCAGGATGGAGAAGTGAAAAAAAGCCGTAATTACTGGCCACAAGCATTTGCAGTATTCTGTGCTCCAGAGGAACTGAGCTGCAGCCAAACAGGGGTGGAAGCCAAAGGGTTCGGTACAACGCACAGGCCAGAGCAGGGTTTCTCAAACATAAGCTTATAGGCACACACCAGAAGTTTCCTTCTTGGCAGATGTAAGCTCTGAAAAATGTGGCAAGGAGAGCAGGGTGTTCAGTCAACCCTTTAATAACAAACAGCTGTAATAAGGTCCGGGCTTCCTACAAGTTAAAATAAATTTTGCCACCAAGCTAACCGGAGCCAGTGCTTCAGCTCATGTAGCTGGGAATGTCAGGGTGGAGAGGACCCATGCAGTGAACTTTCTCCTCCCATTTGAACTTTGTTCCTTCTTCTGTCACCTTTCTTTCTTCTCCCATCTCCATTGTGATGCTGCATGCCACTGCACCTTTGCATAGCAGCTGGCATCTTACAGCAACAAAAACAATCCTTATAACATACTTTGTATCCAGCTGCAAGTGGGAAATTTTCAAAGGCTGCCTTCACTCTGGTTATTGGACTTCAAAGAACAAGCCCAGGAGACAAATGGCCAGCTGCACTTCATGGTTGCCGGCACTCTTGCCACTTTTGTAAGAAGGGAAGCTAAGGCTGAGGTCAGGTCCTTGTGTAAGCCTCTGTTTGGTCACTGAAATCCTTGAACCATCCAGAAAACTCAGCAGAAAACTCAGAAGACTCTTTCCCTCCCCCACCCTTCTTTGTTTTTTCATTCCCTCGTTTGTTTTGGAGACAAGCATTATAGGAAAACTGCAGTAAGCTATTTTCAGAGCAGCTACATGTTTTTTGACTTGTTGGCATCCCAGTAAAATCCTGACCTGCCAAGGGCATTTAGCCCTCTATCTTGGTCCTGTATGAGATCCAAGTTTCGCAGCCATTAGGCAGCAGAGCTGATGAATGCTGTAGTTTAGAGGTTGCCTAATGGAATCTTTTGCCCCAGAAGACATTCAGAGTAAAATCCACAGTGATGCTTACGGAAAAATGGTAAGCTTTAAAAGTAATGAGTTGGGCTGAAGGTGAGTAGAGGCTGTCAGGCTTCAGCCAAGGCTGGCTCAGGGGTAAAGGGCGGTTGTCCACCCCAGCAGCTGCCCTAAGTGAAGGTACCTTTACTGTGCTGAACACATGAACTTGTCCTGGCAAGAAAATCAGGCTGCCGGTGAGGAGCAGGGTGAGCTGTGGCCTGTCCCTTGGCATCTTCACCTTGAACAGCAGGGAGGAGAACAGGAAGGAGCAATGCCTCTGGGAAGAGGATCTTAGGGGACAAAGGGTCTGTTGAAGGAGTGGGATAGGCTAATCGTGAGATTTCCTTCTCTCTCCATTAGGATGGAATAAACTTGGTCGCAGGTCAGCAGCCTTTGGGTGCAATTCAGTACCATTGGGGAACTGCTGGACTAGGGATGCAAACAAATCTTGTGATCACCTCCCACCTCACATTCGTTGACTCTAGAGGGTGCTATCAAAGCTCCCCAGGTGGTGGGAGGTCAGATGAAGTTGTAGATCCTCGTTGTGAACCACTTGGTTATGTTATGTGTTGAGGTGTAAAGCCTGCTTGTGAAAAGGGGACAATAACAGAGATTTTCAATAGTAATATAGAAAGTGTCCTGTTGAGAACAATCAGGTGTGCCTGGCTTACCTGCTCTATAAAGACTTTCACCAGCATTAACTCACAAATGTAGGACAGCCAAATTACAGGTTTGTCCTCACAGTAACAAGCACATATTAATTCAAGTGGGTCACGGGTAAACTTGGACAGCAAAGCCCCAGGGGCCTGTCTGTGACTAATGCCTACAAAGTTGGGTTTGTATCCCAGAGACGTGACTTGGGAGCTCTTTGGGGGTTGCTGTTGCCGAGTAATCAACAGGATGCTGCCTGGTGGGTGCTGCGGCAGCACCCAGAGCCCTGACCTCAAAGACACTTCTGTGCTGTCTGAACCTCAGCAACTATGCCTGAAGTCACCAGTAAATAAATTGATCACTATTCTTCACCAGGCAGCCGCAGCATGTTTTCTACTCTGCCTTTACAAGTCTTCACTCAGTCATGAGACCTGCTGACTCTACATGCTAAGACAGCGCCCATATACTGTGGATTTGCCTTTATTAAAGAGGACTTTCAAAAGTTAAGACAGCTTAAACAAGACTGAAGCAAACTATGTGTAGGCTAGATCCTAAATATAGTTGGAATACCACCTCTTAAGTGGCTGTCGAGTCTCTCCAAATTCTTCTTCAAATGCCTTTTTAGTTGTTGGTAGAAATTCAGCTCAAATATAAACCAAATTAAGTTTTTTTCAAAATACATTTCTGGAAGAAGTGGATGTGGCCACACAGAAGAAAAACTACCATGTAGCTGCACTTTTGATTCTCTTACACTTTGAGAACTTGCTGCATAAGATAAAAGGCAGAAAATGAGACTACCCAGTAGTCTCTGCTAGCATCTTCCTTAAACCCATATATAACCATCAACTGACAGGAAAACTACCTGAAAGTTTGTCATTGCCAGTTCTGGTCATTTGCACCCAGTACAGCAAGCCTGCTGACAGGAAGTAGTTAATTAATTCCTTATTTTGCACTGCTTGTGTGTGCGGCTTTTGCTTTACCTATTAAACTGTCTTTATCTCAACCCACGAGTTTTTGCACTTTTACTCTTCTGATTCTCTCCCCCATGCTGCTTGAGGTAAGCGAGTGAGCATCTGCATGGTGTTCAGTTGCCGGCTGGGGTTAAACCACAACATAGTTTTCAAATTCCTCCTGCAATATTGATCCGGATACTGCTTTGGATGGGGGAGGTTTAGGCCTATTACAGTGAAGTACAAATAGATTTTAGTCTTTATAAAAAGTCCCAAATCTCACCCTGTTCCCAGCTATCAGATAAAATGATAAAGCAAAGATACTTCCCCAAACAGTCTCACTTAAAAGCTTGATAAACAGCTACAGTGTATTGATTTTTTTTTTTCCTCCCAATCTGAAAACTTCAGTTTCTAAATTCTAGACCAGATAATTTCTTGGCTGGCTCTCAGGCAGATTCAAGATGCCTCAAATAACTCCAATGGCACTAAGGAAAGCAGAGTATAAAGGACAATACACAAAACAGCACAAAAGCCTTGAATGTTCTATTTAAAGTGACTTTATTAAAACATTGTTAATATAAAATGTGACCAAGTACAATTTTTTTTTGTAAGAATGTTTAATAAAAACATATTAAAGAAAGAAGGAGCATCGACTCTTGTCAAAGCACAGGAAAAACCTACCAGGATAAGTAAAAAGTTCTGCAGCATGTTCTACCAGCTGGTCCCAATGTGTATTAGGGTCGAGTTAGCCGATGGAAGAGACAGGCAACCCAGGTTCTTCCCTAAGAAGCTTTAAGGTATTTACCAGAGGTTTAAAATAACACTCCTCAACAGCAGAAGACTTTGCTTTCAGATCTCCCCATATCAAAGTAAGATTAGAATGAGCAACTTCATGTTGGATTTATAACTTTTCAGCAGCAGAAAATTAGATTCACTGATAACTGTAAGCCCCAGGGTTAACATTTGTCAGCTTTGAAAAGAAAGTGCAAGTCAATACTAATTATACACCTAAAGAATTTGTGCTAAAGTTGTTCTAAGCTGTATTAATGCTGGATGCTTGTAGCAAATGCTAAAAAAGGTCTTCTAAGAAAAAAACAGCAGTAAAGTCCAGGCTGGTAGAAACAACAAGTATTTTCTGAACTGCTGAATGCAGAGTATCCACAAATTACAGGAGTTTGTACATCTCAGGAAGCACGTAAAGAAGCTTTCAGAAGTCTACAAATAAAGCTACGCAATGACTTATACTCTGTGGCAATCTTCCCATTAAGCTAAGAAACCCTTTAAGAAAACACTAGAAAAACTGGAGGTTTTGGGCTTGGTGGTTCTTTTTTTTTTTTTTTTTTTTTTTTGCAGTCGGGGGTGGGTAGCTTACAGAATTTTCCTTGATCAACAAGTAGGTTTTAATGCTCTATCAGCATCCTCTGCTTGTTCAGAGCAAGCAGCACACCAATTAGAGACAAGGATTCTTCTAGGACATCATAAATTCTTCCTGTAACAGGCAGAAGACAATCCTGCAGCATCCAATTCTGCACATTTAACTGCCCCTGGCACTGAACCAAAAGTGCTAATCCATGAGAAGCCTAGCACAGTTATGGTCTAGGAGATGGTGGCCTTCTTACAGCCTTGGCTGGGACCCATTAGACCCATTAGAGCCCTGTGTTTTGCCTTCTACCCCAAACAAATGCTATGGGACTATTGCTGAGGTAAAGGGAAAGGTCAAACCTTTGGCATTGGAGCAGACCAGTCACTGGTTGTGCGTAGGGGGAATTAAGGCTTCAAGGTGAGGTAAACACAGTGAGAGTCAGTGTGTAAATCATGCTGCATTTCAGAAACGACAAATTCAAACGACAGCTAGTCTTGTTCTCTACATTTTCAACACCAAACAAAGATCATTCGAAAGCACAACTGGAGGCAAGTCTGCTGAGGGCCACCTTGAGATGCCTCTCTGCACCTCGGGAACAAATGTAACCCAGATGTTGAATGCTGAAGAGAATGTACCCACAAGGAGGAAAAAGCACCAAAGTTGATGAGTCCTTGAGACGATAAGCTGCTTAAAAAACAAAGAAGCCTTATACCGCTATGACCTCCCCTAAACATAGTGGTTTCCTGACACAAAGGTAATCTACACTCCAGCAATTCCCAGTGCTGTACTTCCAGCACTACTATTATGAAGAGTTATGCTCTAGTAAGGAGGCAGTAAAATAATTAGGCTTGTGTTCCCTGAAGACAGTTTCTCCCATTCATTAGGTGTTGTCCCATTCCCCTCCACCCACCCCCAAGTCTTTAATCCAAAGACCAGAAACACCTGTCATTTCCCCAGGTCATTTTTCTAACTAACACCCTTATTGTACTTCAGCAGATTTGTAGGGTACAAACACAGTGCTTCTTTGGATCCATCATTTTGGCAATGCCTTTGGCCTCTTTGAAAGAAAAGTGTTTTCAAATAAGTGGTACAAAAGTTACTTTCAAACTAAATGAAATACAGAAATCAATGCAATTCTTCTGTATGCTTATTTTTCATACTGTTTTTGCTAGTTATCTGAAGTTTGGACTTATTTGCTTATTTGGAACCATTGCATGTGCAACGCTACTTCTTACAAGCTATGCTAGCAAGGTTTCGATTGAAAACAGCAATCTGGTCCTGCAGGTTCCATTTCTAGGATAGGGAGACTCTCATTTGTTTTTCTTTAACATGTGTATTGTAACTTCTCCCATCCTCTCAATACAGTAGCTACTAAAAGTTTTAACAGATATTAAAAAAATATCCAAATGAAACCACACTTCTATCACTGTTTAAAAAAACAAAAACGCATATGGTATTACAAAAGTTTATACAAAGGCAACATTTAAGAGTTTGAAAGTTACTTCTAGAAAAAGACACAAATGCTAGTAAATTAACATACAAGGAGAAAGATATTCCACTCCTTCCCCAAAATTGGTTTGATCTATTTTGAAGTATCTTTTACCAGTTGTCTAGAAAATCAAAGCCAGTCTTCAAGATAACATTGCTTGTACTAGTCTGCAAGGAAAATAAAGAAATAAGATGTGGTTGTTAATTATGGTATTACAAACTCAGTACTGGACTGCCTATCTATACAAGAAAGTTTAAAATGTTGTCTGCCAGTATCTCAAGTTCTTCACCTTGCTCTAGGATACCCGAGAACCTACACCAGAAAGTGCTAGACATGGAAAAATACTCACAGTGTCCAAAAAAGCAATTCCAGATAAAAATAAAATTCTTGCAGTGGTCTGCAGGCAAAATGTTATTTTTTTTTTTCCTCATGGAAAAATTCATAAAGATTAATTTTTAGACTAGAGTGGGAATTGCAGAGAATGAAACAGACACAGAATGTAAGCATCACTAATTCAACAGATTGCCTGTTGCATTGACAGCCAGTTGTTTCCAGAAAACTGTACAGTTTAAACTTTGTTGACAAGTTATTTACTATGCTATCAAGACCATGCTCACTCCTGCAGTGCTGCACTTTTAGGCATGACATTTAAGGTGATTTTAGTGTTCAGGAAGACTATTCAAGGGACATGGCTAAGACTCTGGATTCCCTTCCTAGAGCATGGCTCTCTTCCCCAGAACAGGGAAGATAATCCAGAAAAGAGGAAATGATGAAAATTCTATCACACTATCATCTCTGATGCTCTGTTCACATTTTGACATGGGAGGATTGTTTCTCCACAGAGAGAAAAATCAGGCTTTTCAAACTATTTCAGTTAGCTAGAAACATTCACAAAGGAATTAAAACTGTAACAAAACATTAATTTGTAGGAAAACATGATAAAGCCTTTAACTAAAATTAAAGGACTACCATGGTCACAATTTGTAGCAAAACAGCTCAAGCATTATGTCTTAGCTTCAGAAAAAAAAGACTAAACATAGGGTTCCAAATACTGAAGTGGCTTAAGTATTGTTCTCTCATAAGTGCTGCCACTTACTTCTCTTGCAAGTATCTACCTCATCCTGCATCTTTCTGACCTTACATCATCTTGTTTGGAATTTAAACAAAAATATGGTAGGGAAAAAGCTATGCAACATGCTTAAAGTGTACAGTAATATGTCAGACTTATGCCAGAGTGACGCTACAGATTTCAAACAGAACTGCACAGCTCTGTTTGAAGAGCCACTCCTCTACTTCACAGTTTTTAGGCTTCAGATCTCTTCCTTTTCTTTCCCCCACCATGTCATATCCTGTTGTTCCCTTTCTTTTCTCACAGATCAGCATGCGCTTTTTAAATAGCTTCAATTGGCTATTGAGCTGCTTATTTTTTGTTGTTGGGTTGTTTGGCGTTTTTTTATTTAGAAAGAACCCAACATTGAGGAGGCTAATTCTGGAAGCTCATTCCATTTCCATTTTGGACTTTAAGAGAAAACACATTTTAAAGCAGCCCAGATGCCTGGGACAAAGCACTGGGAAATGGCTGTTGGGCTACCGCTTAAAACAGCTGAGAAACTACTTCGCCATTCACCATTATGCTGTGTGTACCAATAAAGTATCCTAGACTCTGGTTTATCTACTTTTCAAGTTAAAAACCTTCTTTTTTCCATTAAGTGTTTTGCTGTTTCAAGAAAAAAAAAAAAAACACAACTCTTTTACTTGATATAGCAAGCTCTTTACCCCAAACCTTTAGGTAGCTTGCTGTCGGTTAGCCACTGGATGCCATGTCAGCATTTCTGGTATTACATTTAAATGATGCCTTTATCCTTTGCACTTTACTACATTAAAAAACACTTGATTGAAACCAACAATAGCAATTAACATGTTGGTTAAATAGACTTCTTTAAATTTGCAGGATAAAAAGGCAGCAAGCTTAGCTATGGCTTAACGCTTTACGGAATCCCTAATCTTCCAGAGCATCCTTGTCAGATTTTAATGTGCTATACAGTTTTTAAATCTAAAGACAGTGGATATAGCAGTCCTTACCTGTCCAGGCATTTGTGGATCTGTAAGTATAGTACCATCAGTATCTTCTTTGTTTGTCCTAGAAGATGCCAGGTCCTGTGGTGGGTCAGGAAGAAAGAAGTCATCTAGAGAACTAGCAGGGAGTTGAGTGGGTCGAGGTTTCTCCCATTCGAGAGACACAGAAGGTAGGCTGGGGGCAACAGACTTCTCCGGTTTAGTGATGCTGGGCTTCTCAGCTCTTGCCATCTCCTTTGGAGCAGACTCTTGTCTGTAAAAAGAGGGAAGGGGTTTCTCTCCTTTCTCCATGGACTTGATCTGGCTGGGGGTCAGGGACTGGAACTCAGACTTGTCTCCTTCAAACTTTGAGCGCTCTGCATTTATCTTCCAGAAAGAGGACTCCTCTTCCTTTCTGGATGCTATCAACCCATCAGAGCCAGGGGTCTTATTGGCCTGAGAAGATTTAGGGACTTGGACACCAGGTGCTGCTTTAACGGGCTGCCTCTGTTCATGTTGCAACTGGGCACCACTTTGTTCTTGTATGGACAGAGATGCAACGCTGAACTCCATCTGACTCTGTCCAGGATTAAAGAAAAACAGTGTTTCAAAGCCCTTCACAAAGACACAGTTTTGAACTTCTGATCTTGGTGCGTTTAGGTAACACCTTTGCCCATGGCTGGGCAACTCCCAGACAGTAGATACCACAGCAAAGCTAATTTATTTTCTCCATAAATGTCTATCTTTGTAGCTACATTAAAATAATAATGTTTAAAAGTCTGAACTGCAAGCAAACATAAGAGTCCTAGATCTGCTGCAGAGGAGTCAGAGACAGCAATCATATTTGAGTTATTCAGTGCCATCAAGATAGCAGTGCATAGCATGCACAGCACTAAAACATTAGAATAGCAACACTAAAACATTACAACAGTTGTGGATGCATTCTGAAAGGCATACATGTTTTACATGAAAATATAAAGCAAAAAAGCTTTACAGTGTAGTTTAAAAAGCAATGTTCTATTATAGTCTTTGAAATAGTTGTCAACATGTTACAACTCCATCTACTTCCAAGATAAAGGGTTAGATGTAACAGTTATGCGTAGATAAGTAGTTTTTACAATTCTAATGCCCCTCTGAAGGAAGAGAAGCAACTCCAGCATGACTAGTTCTTCACTTCTTTCAGAGCCTTGTTTTGTTTTTACTTGCAGTGCAGATAGCTGTACTCATTTCTGAGAAATAACACTGGGTCAAGGAAGCAAGTGGCCAGCATTAAAGCATGACACAGATCTTGCAAAAGCCACCCAAAAGCGAACAATACTTCAAAATATTCATTTTGTTTACCACCACTTCAGTAACCTTGACTGTCAACTAGCTGGACACTCTTCAGGCTAATAAAAGTTAAGCCTTATTTCACTCTGAGGAACACGTTAAGTGTTACTGTATTTAGGAGCACAGCACCATAGCAAGTGCCAGAAAAGAAAAACCTAATGTCTAGGCTTTTGTTTGTAAAATGGAATAAACAATTAAAAAAAAATTAAAATTGCATTTACTGTTAGAGCTATGCTGTTGTCATTATGGGCCTGATTAGTTTTGAAAAAATTCAGAGATTTTCAAATACTAGCTTTTGCTACAAGTGGCTAACAGATACTTTTGAAGTTCATTACAGATTTGTGATGTTTTCCCCATTCTACTTCATTACCTGGCCTTTCCTGAATAAAACCACAATAGCATCTGTGGACCCAAGTCTAAAACAAGTCCTAGTTGCATATCATTTTCACTAGAAGTGTTTGATCTCGAGTCCTACATTATTGTGCATGTTAAGTTCAAAGGGACTCTAGATCTAGCAGGTCTCACACACCTAGTATTTAATATTCAGAAACTTCTCATCAAAGTGCAAATGTTAACTCAGCAACTGATTATTTATAAAACATTTTTTTTTAAACAGTCAGCAGCTGAGTACACATAATTTGACTCATGGACTAACATCTGACCTTTCTAAAGAATTAGATACATTAGATATTTTTCCAAGGTTATAGGCAAGGAACCACTAAGTTCCATGTTTTCATTAAGAATACACTGTGTTATCAAAAGATGCAGAACATAAACAAGCTGTAAATAATTATAGCTCTGCTAGAATAAGGTGAGTGCAAAGATACATGCAACGCCTCCCAAACAGCTCAATGCCCCATCCTGCCTGCAAAAAGCTAAGAGGAAAAACCTTAGCGCTCCAATTTTATTTTATTTTATTTTAAACAAAAGTCATGACGTAAAGTTAAGAGCAGGAGCTGTTTCCTTAGATAAATTCTGCATAAACAAACTATGCATGCAATGGTGGTTTTATTTACAGTGACTGCCATTCCCTATATTAAAATATAGGGATTTATTTCCTTAAGCTCATTTGGCAATACTACTGAATAGAGATTTACCACCCTGAAGTTAAGATGTTTTAAGATTTCAGAACTGATAAAATCCCAGCTTAAAAAAACCCACAACACAATATAAAATAGACCTGCATTTCCCCAGTATCTGGGCGGGGGTGGTGGAGTGGGTGGGAATTTCCATCTTGGAAGACTTAAGCACCTTGTCAAGTAGGAATGAAAACAGTGCTACTTTCTATCCTTCAACAGTCTTCCTTCTGAGTAGCCTGTCCCAGTGCTCACACTAGAGAGGACAGTAGCTAAAGGCCACCACAACAGCAGTCAATTTCAATAAAATGATTCCCTCACCCCCCAGAGGGCAGGTCAGTGCCCAGAGGGCAGAGGGGCCATCACAGCCCTAGATCCACCAGAATAGTGTTGGAAACAAACTCTATGAAAAACACTGATGGAAGGGAAGCAGGGGTCTGTCAGAACAAAAATCAGAAAAAGGAAAACCAACGACATGGCTTTACCTTTTAATGGCAGCAAGACAGACAAGCAAAGCCAGGCCTCCTGGGACATTCTTATGCTGCGGAGCAAAAGCCACTGCCTATGGTCATGTTTTATGTTCTTTCGTATGGGTCCAAATACCAGCTCAGAGGTCTGGTTCGGAAGTGGTAGACTGCTTCTAGTGTAGAGAAGAGCATGCCACTGCAGCACAAGTTCAGGCAGTTGTACCCTTTCCAACCTGCTCATGGATGCATGTTCTGGGAAGGATGCCCTCTTTGTCCTTTTAGAATGGAGACCATGGGGTGTACCACTCCCCTTCAGAAGACAGGACCACCCAACATTTAAGATTACATACTTGTGTCACGGTATGCTTTGGAGATCAAACAGTTCACAACCTGACATGGAATAATCTGAATGAAAATCCTTCTTCATGAGTTTCCTTTCTCCCCCCCGAAGAAGGCAAAGAAGACAAGACTACCCTGACAGGTTCTGAAAGCACTGTGTCTCAGCATGATGTAAACAACAGCCCTGAGAGGTCAGATGTGTAATTCTGCTTCTAGCATTTAGCTTGAGAAGCCAAGAACTTCTGTGGACCAGTCACAAGTTACTCTATTTTTCTTGAAATATATAATGCTTCTATTTGACTTTCAAGGTTACTTAAGACATCTGAACCCCTAAGAAATGTAGCTGATGAAAGACAATTATCAGCATGCAATATCTTTCAAGTCACAAAATTGGCAACAAAATATTATAAACACGCCCCCCACAAAAAAAACTCACCCAAAAAACCCAAACAAAAACCCAACAGAATAGCAGTATAAGTAGGGACATAATTTCACATAGAGATGGAGAAGACACTTGTGTGAAACACCCCATGTTGACATCTAAGTCATAAGTAGTACTGTACGTTCTAGTAAGTCACTAGAAATGTGAGTATAATAAGAAGTTGAGAGCAGAACACTAATATCAGATTGCAAATTGGCAATTGATTGGGACAGGAGGATAGGGAAGGAAATGACATTTAAAAGACAGTTACCCCCAAAAACCCATTTCCTTTTCCTTTAGGTTTGCCAGCCATGAGAATATGTTGATGCACAGATCTCCTGGCCCAAATCAAACTTGCAGCGGCAGCTAGTCCATAAAGGGCCATACCACGTGTTCACTTTCGTCGGGCTGAGGCAGAGCTGCTGTGAGCTGCAATTGCCACTGAAGCATTAGCAGCAGAACTGCACTTGTGGCACTCCACCATCTGCCACCTTGGGGAAGCAAACACTGAACACTGCAGTAAGATTTGACGGTCAAAAGTGACTTGTCCTTTAGGCACAGTTTGGGATTCTAGAGATAGGGTTTCAGTCCCCAGCTTCTTTCATAGATTTTGTACGACTCTGAATGAGCTGCAGTTTCTGTACTTTAATTCTCCATCTAAGGAATAAAAATAAAAATACTTTCTTTTTCCTACCATTTGTCCAAATTGTATTTCTGGGAACTGTTCAGCCCAGAAAGTCTCGGGAGTTTACAGACAGGCTAGTACAGTCCCAACTGCAATTTCTAGAAGTTATCAGAATTCAAATAAAAGCTATTAACAGCAGTCATATTTTCAAGACACTGCAAGAACAAGTAATTCTCAACACGTTAAGAGAGAGAGGGGGAGAGAGAGTGCATGTGAAAGCATGCATGAAGTCATATTTTGAAGCAGAGCAAACCTAGAAACCTGTGTTCTTTTCAGTCTTATCCCTCTGGTCCCAAACCACTGCAAGGGTTAAAATAAAGCATGCCTAGGTCTTGGATCATTTTTCTGTCAAATAAATGTAAGCAATATTAAAAATTGCAGGTTTTCGGAAGTTGCGTGTCCATCTTTCCTTAAAAAGACCATATTAAGGTATTTAGGAATTTTATTTATTGGATTAAAAAATTTAGACCTAACTTCAGTCTCAAGGCAGGGATAATCCACCAAATTGTAATACTGGCTGTATATACTCATGGGAAACAATGTATTCTAAAAGAAAGGCACCACACACTAAGAACGTAACGATTTAATAATACTGTATAAAATCAAGTCTCAGTTCATAAGTCTATATTAAAACGAAGATGACCACAAAGAACCCAGGAGCTTTTTTTTTTTAAGCATCTTATTCACTCATCAGGAATGTGTAGTATTTTACTAAATAGTCAAGCAAACACAGCCAAAACAAATTGTTTTGCTTGGCAGCCTGAAAAATCCAAATTGTTGAGACGAAGACTGCAGAAACACTGTCAAAGGCAACTTGTTTTAAGCACAGCCTGATATATGCAGAGGTAAGAAAGCCAAGTTTAAAATTATTTAGAAGATTACTTTGCTCTGCTGAATGGACAAAACCAAAATAAATATGGCACCCAAAGTAGCTGCAGTTTTTGCTTTGTTTCCGGTGCACACTGTGAGTGTTTTCAGGATCTTTTCAGAGTCAGAAAGAAATCCTTAGGTCAGCAGAGACCAACTGCAAGGACAAAAATAGAGCAAAGCACTCAAAACCAATCCAAGTAATTTTAGTCCACACAGAAAGACAACGCCCAAGATGGATAGCGTGGAGCTTCGGAGGAAATTTCATGATCTACTCTTTGGTGATATGAACAGCATTCTAGTCTGCCACTGTTACTGGTTAGCCTGAGCAAGCTCATACTGACAGTATCTGGTATGTGCATGGCTTTATGCTCAAAAACAACTGTCTAAAGATTGATGCAGGTAACTGAATCCTTAGCTGAGAACATCTGGCCACACACATTAAAATAGACCTTGAACACAGCTACTATTACTGCAAGTTGGGTTTTTTTTTTTTTTCTCAAGAACTAATAGTCAACAGTAGTCTTACAGCACTGTGTTTTAAACACCTGTAGTCTAGATCAAGAAGGGAAGGGAAAACCCAAAACCTCAGGCATCACTCTCTTTCCAAGGAAGCACTGCCATTTACGCCAGCTTGATAAAAATAATCACACTGAAGTACAGTTTGTAACAAACAATTCTAGTATCAGGCTGCTAAGGAAGAAGGGGAAAAAAAAAATTCTTTTCTGTCACTTTCTTCCTTTTTAAAAAAAAAAAACAAACCACAAAACCAACTTGTACAAGAAAGGATATTAAAGACTGCCTTTTAGTTTTAGATAAAGGAAACACTTTGCAAACCACATTTTTTGTAAGTGCAACATATTTTTTTTTCTTTCTAAATCATCACGGGGATTAGATCACTTCTGTAGCAATACAATTAGAGAATTCAGACAGGGAGGCAGCAACCAGATTATTGAAGGGATTGAAGCTTGACACTTTCTCTTTTTGCTTTTTGTTTGTTTGCTTTTAAACACACCTTGAAGGTTTCTCTTTTCAACAAGTATCTGAGGGCCTGTTGAAAGTAGAAAAGAGCTGAAGGAGGAAAAAGCCAGGAGTCAAAAAGAAAAAAGTACAGAAAGGACACTCTAAAGCTACATTTGCAACTATTCTACCTGTATCGAGAGCAACAAATTTTTAGATGTGCATGTGTCAAATTTAAGTGTCTGAAATAAAACTTATTTTAGTTAATAGCATGAATTAGAAATAGACTGCAACTTATTCCCATGCTGCTCTGTGCATTCAATGTGTTAGCTGAGGTGGCAGACTGAAATTATATTTTCTGCCCACCACTAATTTTTTTTTTTTAAAAAAAAAAAAACACATCAGAACCAGAAAGTTCTGAGTTCAGGAAAAGTTGCAGAGAAATTTCATTCCCAAACCCAGGCATGATTCTTGTTTTCCATTTATATCTTGGGGTCCATCCTGAGTTTCACTGAATTTTTACTTCAAACAAATCAAGAAACCTCAAAGGCTAAACTCAGCCAAAATGTCAGCTTTCATCTCACTTAAACCTGAAGCCATAAATAGAATGCCCTAAATTCATAAACCTGGCTTTAGCTCCAGTTAAAAACGTAACCCACATTTCAAGATGTGTTACGTTCATGAGGGCTCCACCCATGAAACAAATCACTCCCTCCAATTCAATCTCTAGTTTTAAAATGTCAGCTTATTTGCAGTGCCATGAGAACTTGTTGCTTCCCCGGTAGATTTCCTTCTGAGAAGTGCTACAGTTTTCTACTAAAAATATTAGTATTTTAAACACTAACAGCTAACTCAGCAATTTACATTCTATTTCTGCTTTGTTTGCCTTGTTTGAGGGTTTAAAAATAAAGAGGTAAGACAAGAACTTTAAATGCACATCAAACAGATATTCAAACAGGAGATATTCATGCAAGTGTTTGTTGTGATATGAATGACTTAAGCCATATCTCACATTTGTGTTTAAAATGAGAACACAGAAGGTTTACTTTTGACAGAAGTGATCAAGCCCTTCAACAGTGTTCTGCCCAAAATGACAGCAGTTTAGTACACTGTTCTCTGGGTAAGTTTGACAGCCATAGAATTAGGGAATCCATTGCACTAACTACTGTGAAAAAAACTCGTCCGTACCTCATCAACTGGAATCACCACTGGCATCACTGTAACAGCTGAGAGAGGGTCCAAGTTGCAGAAAACATGCCCTCCCCTCTTCTCTACTCTTCTCACTACCCTCTCAGTTTTCCTGAAGTTAGTTACAGACAAATACTGATTTTGCCACTTTATTTTTCTTGAGTCTCAATGTTTTTGTTTTTTTTTTTTAAAAAAAAAGCTTATTGGTTTTACTGATTTACATCTCTACTTTCTCCTTTTCTGCAAAAGCAGAAAGTGAACACCACATTCCTTTCCTTGGGTAAGCCAGAGCACATTCATGCAAAGCTGCAAAAGAACGAAGGAATTTCATCATCATGGCAACAACATGCAAAAAACCAAACCAAACCAAAAATTCTGCATTAAAGGGAGATCAGGGAAAAGAATATTAGAGAAGGAACAACCCAACATGGGGTAGAGCTCATGGAATGGAAAGAGCCTGACAGCCTGAAATAACAGTGGGAACAGATCTAGCTCACAAGGCACTGAAAGTGCATTACAACATGTCAACCTTACTAAACAGCTCATTCCGGTTTCTTCACTGTTTCCCCATGCTGGACCAATTGGGCAAGGATACTTTTTCCTCAGCTGGAACCTCATGGAGAAATTGCCTTCCAGTAAAGTACCGGTTAGGGAAGAGATCAAAGAGTAAGCACGAAGCAAGATCCCCACCTTTAGAAATGGAAGACTCAGCAGTTGAAGGATTTGGCTGAAAGACTGACACAGTATGAGGCACTGGGGAAGAAACAAAAGGAAGAACCCACGCAAACCAACCAACCCACACCCTGTAAAGCCAGACAAAATGGATTTGCTAGAGTTGGGCCAAAGGAAAAAAGGTCATGCAACTTTTCAGCCTACAGCTGGGGCACAGATTTTATCTCTGCTCAGCAAGGGGGCGGGGGGGGAAGAGGGAAGCACAGCTTGATTAGTAAAGCAACCTCCTCCCCAGCTCACTTTTCTTCAGCAGGCACATGAGTGTTCCCATATCATTCTGCGATCCTCCATTCATTACAGGAAAGCTTGAAACTAGAGCATCATTCCATTGTGGTCCCTCATTTTGAGACACCAGGAGGATAGTAAAAATAATCTTAATCAGCAAGGGATAAACCACAGGATGGGTTGAAAAACACTTAACTAGACATAAAAGTATTTAAAAGAAAAGACAACTATCAATTATTTGGTAGGTTAATCAGCATCAGCAAAGCACAGGTGGGGTGCTAGCTACAGGCAGTAACCTTGAGCAGGGAAGGCTGACAAGTCTAGGGTCAACCAGATTAATTTAGTATTCACTGGCATTTCCAAATAAGTACTCTGCATTAGGCTAAGATTATATTCATAAGCTCATACATGATTATCTACACAATTCAAGGGCAAAAAAGTGGAAGAAACAGGGGAGAAGCAGCTTCCTCTGGCAGATAAAGCCAGAAAACACAGTCTGAAACACACGATTAAATTAACATGCCCACCATTCCCAGTTGAGAAAGACAATGAGCTGTGTTTTTGCGCCCAGATTTTCTTCAACAAGAAGAATTAAACTTGATTTCCCCCCCCAAATATGGTGTAACTATATTTCCTCACACTGCAGGTCCAGAAAGACAGAGAACTCTGGCTCTGTGTTAGCCTTATGAGAATCCCATCATAAATAACAAAATACCAGAGGTAAAGCGAGGGGGAAAAAAAACCCCAAACCCCAAACCAACCCACCACAGAAAAAACCATTATTTTTTGAAAGAGCTGTCTCTTGTAGAGAACATAACACAATGCTTCTAGCATAGCCCCTGACCAACAAGTTTCATTACATCCTAGTACATAATAAAAAGAAGCATAAGACAGGCTTTAAGAAAGAATCCAATGAAGTTACTAGATATCCGTACCTTTCTCACCCCATTTCCTAGCTACTTTACTCCTGACTTCAAAAGCGAAATGCAGTTATGTTTATACAATGTCTGAGACACTGGTCTTGCTAAACATGGAAAGTTGTTTAAAAAGTTTACAATGAAAGTTTACAATGAAAAACCAAATAATTTGTAATCAATCAGGTTTACATCTGCACTTGAAGCCAGACCATTAGTTCATGAAGCACATTTGGTGTTTCTGTTGATGTAAATTGAAGCACACCAGTCCCGTTTCATTTGCAGAACGGCCACTTTACACAGCTGTGATAGAATAAAGGTGACATTGGTCTTGCAAGTCTCAAAATGAAGACAATATAAATGCACAAGGAACAGTATAAAATGATAAACCAACATTAAAAATAAAATTGCTGCATACTTACCTTTGTTTCCCAGGAGAACGGAGCCGAATGTTCATCTTGCCAAGTTATATCCTGAAATAAAATTCAAGAATGACTAAAAATCAGAAAAGCAGCTTTACCTGCTCAGGAGCATCATACAGATGACATTACATTGCAATGCTGGAAGCTTAACAACCACTATCACAGAACTTGCTAAAAAGTGAGAGCACTACTTAGAGATGGCACTGATCATGTTTTAAGACTGACTGAAAGCAAGTTTTCGGGAAGATTATCAATTAGTATACCAATTTAGCCTACAGAATATATGAAGGTTTAACCTGGTCTAAACCTCTTGAAATGGTTTCTCTACAAATAGCTTTAAAACATATTATATTTCCAGTTTTCTACTATGTGTTTTCTTTGGTAGCCACTAGCAACACACAGGGACAGAAATAACAAGAGGAGAAGGGTCCTTAAGGAAATGAAGTCCCATTTCCTCCCCTCCGCAGACCAAAGAGCACATGTGAAACCAGGCAGAACCGTGGCAGTGAAACACCTGCACATCCATCAGGCCAAGCCACAGCTGGATCCAGCCCTGACAAGACACATCATTATGCCACTTCAATGACGAACAGTCTGAAGTAAGTATTCAGTGCTGTTGAAAGAACCACACGACATCCAGAGTAAAATCCCAATTTGAAATAGCTTCTTTTAAGAAGCTATTTTTCTGAAAATAATCCCAATCTGAGAAATTTAAATAATCTCTTCCTACATGGCATGCCCTCCAGAAATACATGCAACCCATATTGAAAAAAGAAGGGGTGAAAAATAAATAAATAATTGTTGTTCACATTTGTTCAAGACTTGCAACAAAATGATCACATTCCTATTCCCAGTCATAGATGAGACTCATTTGTACATTGGATGTTCACGCTGGTAGAGGTAATGAGTTGCACCCTCTATACTGAGAATACCACTGCTTGGCCACCCCAGTACATCAGGGGAGGAACAGGAGTTGGAACAGCGGATGGAAGGAGAAAGGCCAGGAGTAACCATGCACAGGGAAGGAGAGGACGGGACAAGACCTGGAGTGCTTGTTTCACACTCCTGCTGTTCAAAGAGTAAGAGAACTAGACCATATTTTAAGCTAACACAGGAACCCCACATCCTACCATGAATACCCTTTTCTTATTTCTAACCTCTGCCTTTATAGAAACACATTTCTCAGACATCTGATAGCATTCTACTGATCCGCAATCTCTTATTTCACCCTAGGCAGATTTTGCTGGCCTAGGGCTATGAAAACACAATTAGAAGTGTCTGAAACCATTTCCTAAACAAGAAAACGTGTCATTCTCCAACTATTACTCATCTGTGAAACACAGGGTTTCTAGCAGCAACGTATTTGTGATATATATGAGTGTGATCTCATGCTCTTAAAAAGAACTAGACAGATAGAGACCATCTAAAAGGAAAGGCCTGGGCTCTGCTGGACCACACATTCTGGCCAAAAAGGAAATTTGGTACATGAAATCTTTGCCAAGGACACAAGTGTAATACCAGATTCTCTCATTCCAGGAAATGGATACTCATATGTATTAACATTTAAGGGAAACAAAGGGAGTAGAAGTCTGCTTTTTAGTATCTGTTCTAACTTCTACCAGTGTTTGCACTGTAAAGTGCTGATGACCACATGGGAACGCCAGACCACTTAAGTGGGATGTCTCACAGCAGGTGAGTGTCAAATTATTTCAAAATCATTTTAGGACTGTATCCTTTGCCTCTGGAACTGGTGGAGCTGGCACTTCACTTCTGAAGCATGCATGACAGGAATCATGGCCCACGAGAGAAGAGAGGCGGGAGAGCCCAGCCACTGGATTGATTCTCACACACAAGGCAGGACCATAACCCTTCTGTCTGCATGGGGTCTGGACAGATCAGCACTCAACTTCAACCACAGCAGTAAAGGACAGAAATGAAGTCAAGCAGACAGTATAACACTCCTACACGCTGTCACAGCACCTTAAAGCTCCAGACATGTAGGCATAGCTGTCAGTGGGTTTTACCTAAGGAGTTTAAAGGAAGCTCTGACTTCTTGCCATTTATAGGACATGCAAACCAGCCATGGACCTGTTTTAAATTTGGGAGCGAGCCAAGACCATCCTTGTCTGGGATCTGAGATAGCCAGTTCTTTATTTGCCTATGTTTGAGGCAAGTGTAGACAGCACTGGGAGGGACACCTCTTCACCCAACACTCCCTGCACATCTTGAACTCAGCAATGACACTGCTGCTGCAAGTGAGCCCTGCTGACAGAAGGCTGCCCACAGAGGGCTAGAAAAGCAGCATGGGGAAGGCAGAGTGAAGGTATGAGGTTGTCATGCACAAGGCTACGTCATTCCCTACAGGATGGAGCAAGTCAGCTTCCTACTTCATAGAATGTGATGTCTTCTCAACCACCGTTGCACTTGTTGGCACCTCAACTTGTAACTTCAGCCTCCAGCTTAGGCAGTCAAAGAGCTCCTGAAATGAATTAATGGTATTTTGGTAGCATTTATTGAAAAGTTCTTGTCAGAGACAAAATCTAAGACTTTCATAGATTATTTCAAAAGATGGGAAGAGTAGACACTTGTTAGGCAGGAGCAGTTCCCTCAAAGAAAAGGACCACAGAATTTTCTTAAAAGGATGGCTCATTTTATCTCCAGCTGCACAGCCCAGCATACCTCAGAGCCAGTAAGTCTGAGAAGCTTTGCCCACATTCAAGAGATCTTCCACGGGATCTAGAAAAGTATAAAATAGCATAGGCCATGGTTTGAGGATACAGAGCTTCAAGGAGTTGATGTCTGTGGTTATTTGAAGTGTACTTGAAGCTAGGATGAAGGAGACAGTTGTCAGGTTCTGTCCATTGTCAGTAAAGGTAAGGAAGTTTGTGTCTTTCACCTCTCATGCCCTCACACGGAGGACATGCAGGGGACCAAGTGAGAAGCAGAAGACCACAGTTCAACAGTTTCCTGTCTGATGCACCTGATTCATGTTTATCACCAACAAAATCTGAGAAATAACTTTGCTTTCTGTAGAATAAACAAGTTCCCACACGCTTGAAGAAAATAGGAGCAAAAGCATCAAGTATTTCAATATTCACGAAAGTAAATTATGAGTGGAAAAAAGGGCTTTGTGGCTATTTATCATCACCACACATTAGAAGAGATCCATATCTGATCAGCTTTTGTTTTCAGCACACAACAAAGCCTTCTTCCAGACAGAAGGCAAATAAATAAACTTTTGTTCACCAGCTTTAAAGAACCTATTTGTAAGAAATGGGGCCTCATGCAATGTATTTCATAGCCAAAAAAAAAGAAAAAAAGAGAGAAAGAAAGAGAGGCAAAAATCTGGTCATACACTTCAACAACCAGCTGCAGAACATATAAAAAAGAATCACAAACTACGTTAGCTATATCTAGACAGCTTGTTGCAAAACAGCATCTGAATTTCAAAATGGAAGACAATGGTAGAAACGTGCCAGTGTATCTGACACGAGCACTGCTCAGAGCAGGTGACAGTAGCCAGGAAGTCACAAACCCACCAACAAATGCATCTGAGAAGTGTTACCAGAACAGGACTTGCTGGTTATTGAGGTTTAACTGCACTTAAAAGCTACCCTGCATTTTTCATCTTTTAAAAAGCACAGATCTATAACAGGCCCAACATAAAAGTTATTGCTATATTGAATATTTGTTGCTTTAAAGCATTTTTAAGTAGGAGATAAAAGGGTTGATCCTTTGGCTTGGTGCCAAAGTTCTTAAGGCTAAGCAAAACAAGTATTGTATCTGCCTTCAGGTAGATAAGTCAAGCTTCCCTATTAAAAGATGATGAATGAAACTAACCAAACTCTCTTACCTGTCTTTCCTCCACCTAAAATGTTTACCACTTCCTAAAGTACATGGCATTTTCTTCAATGAAAAGTTTTGTTATTTCAAGTCCAATTCTTTGAGCTGCTGAGTACTGCTCAAATGCTCAATATACCTTTAAAAAAAAAGAACTAAAAAAAAAGAAAAAAATCAGACCTTAAATCCATGTGTATGTCTTACACTTGTGGATAAAGAGGGACAATATTAAGAGAAGAGTGAGAACTTCTTGTAAACTGAATATCTAAACTATCTTTCACTGAACTAAACAGGGAGGATACAGTGGCATCAACTAACATCAAATCAGATGCTTAACACAAGCTGACCACTACAGCAGCCAAAGCCTCTCACACACTGCTGTTTTTCTACCTATTCCCCTCATGATGGCTCATAATTTACGATGTATTTGAAAAGCAGCCCACTCACATTACATTTATATTCAATCCTGGATTCTATTTCCAGACTTCCCTCTGCTCAGTTAACCTTATTTTCTACCACTACAAGCATTAGACATAAATAGAGAAATGCCAGCAATCAGAGGCCTGTTGGGAAAAAAAAAGCTCTGCTTGAAGGCTGCAGCCTCAAACAGCCCTCAGTCAGAAGGCCTAGGCTGTCTAGACACAGAAAAGGGCCCATGTGCAATGATAGCAAGTCAATCTTGCAAAACAGGACAAAACTTCTTTCACAGGGCTGTTAACTGACCCTATTAGCCTGGAAGAGATGAAAAATATATGCATGACTCTAGAAAACAGAACAAGAGAGAGAGGCAAGAGGTGTTGGATTTTGCTAGGAGGAGGTGTTGGAAAATACCAAGGCCTGCAACCCCATCAAGGTTATTGAGCCGGTGTATTCTGGGGTCTGTTTCAACTAGGAAGTCTTAGCTTGACACCGTGAGACTGACGGTGGACACATAATGGCTGGTGTTAGCAGCTGCGTACATCCTCACTGCGACAGCGTGGTGCACACAGGCAGATGCCAAGTGAACTGGGTGCCACCCAAACCAATTCTGTGCTTGAGAGAGAAACACTGCTTGGGGAATCAGGGAGCCCAATTCCTGTACTTCCACTTCTTTCATCAAGCTTTTTGAGACTTTTTAAAATCCCTTCAGTTCTTTGACAGCAAGATGGGAGACTAAAAAAGCAGCTCTGGTGTCCTGGCACCAATCCTTTTTAGGAACTGCATTCACA